AAGTCCAAATAGTGCGTAGCAGTTCTCATATAGATTAGAAACATCGAGGTGCCATGCATCATTCATTCCCTTTCCTATCGCTAGTACAAAACCAGAAGCAATCAACAATACCGATCCCAAGACAAATAATGAAATGTTTTCTGCTGCACAAAGAGAGTGTTCTGGGACTAGCTAGAGTCAGTATTCCAGATGAAGACTGCAGTACCCGATCTACAAGATCTAGAATTCAATCCTATCGAATGGGCCTGGAAACCAACAGCCGGAAGCAAGAAAAAAATGCCCTATCCCCATAACCTAATACACAGTGATGTCAGGATACGGATTGGTGCTGCAGACAAAAGATCCCATGCCGGCTATCAAAAGGAGATGGACACAACTGATTGGAAATTAGGTGTAACAAATTACCAGAATCCCATAGAAAACATAAACGATAAGGCCACTTAAGATCAGAGCCAGGCCACTTAAGATCAGAGCCTCCAATGGCTTGTGAAGTACGCAACTCTACCAGTCAACTACTTGGTACACCCTAGGAGAAGGAAAACTGACCCAAACAGATGTGACTTCTGTGTGGCTTATCAGACCAAGAACAACAAGATTTAATCCACTGTCTATGGAGTCGGCTATCGACATCCTCTCTCGCGGAACACCCACTTCATGTGGCATACTGCGCACCACACGGGCCTGCAGGCCCCGACCAGGCGGAATAAGGGCCCTCCAGGCCCTGTGTCGTTTCAGCCTAAAAGCCTAAAAAGGAGGGCCAATTTTAGGCCCTCATAAAGTCGACCTTTCCTGAAACTTAGGGGCCGGACCAGGGATAAGCGCAGGCCACTTTTAGGCCTGTTTCAAGACAACCTTTTGAACTTCAGCGCCAGGGTCTGCACGATTCGGCATTGGCAAGAGCAGCCTCCCAGCCGGACCAGCACTATATAGTACTGGTCCGCCCAGGAGGCAGCAGGCAGTTCCGGAGGCAGTCTTCAGGAGTCGGCAGCAGCACTCTGCAGGAGCGCTGCAGTAGAAGTAGTCTTCAGCGCTGGGCGCTTAGAGTAGCGTTAGAGAGAGAGGAGAGTGGCGGAGGCCAGGGAGACTTACCTGGGAGCTTACCTGTGGCACCATAGCTCCAGCTTCGTCTTCGATGTACCTGCAACAAGGCGCCACCTTCACAGGTTAGTACCGGGCTGAGAGAGAGAGAGAGAGAGAGAGAGAGAGAGAGAGAGAGAGAGAGAGAGAGATTTGTGACTTTGGGATGTTGACGACATTTGGATACAGACTCGACCTTGGGAAAGAGACATTGATGAGGGACTATTTGGGATCGATACCAATGACACTTGTGTGACGACATTCCCCTCTTCTCCCTCTTCTTCGTCTAATCCCCCTCCTCGTCATCTGTGTATGATTGGAGCCTGGCGCATTCTTCCTGTGTGTAGCGCCAGGCCCCTTCACACCTTGCGATGATGATGATGTATGTTTGTTCTGCATTGTGACATTGATTGGTCTGATCAATGGTATTGTAGCCTTCCGCTGCGCTGTCCTGTACTATGTGAGAGAACTCGGTTCTTGTTCTGGTCTGCACCTTTACAGTATGCAACACTTCACCTCCACTTATGGACTAACATTCCTGCCAGTCTGAGCAAATCAGAACAGTTATGGTATGGCTTGGTACAAACGCGGAAGTATGGGCAATATTGAAGGAGAGATGCAGCATCACACTGGATGACACGAAGAATTCCAGAGAAAAGGTATGGGCAGCAACCAGGAATCTCATTGAAGCAGAACTTTCAATTCAGAGAGACCCTGACTCAGAATAGTGGCTGAAATCGAAGTTTCAACATACCTGGCTGGTGAAAGCCAAGGTGGCAGCATGACAGGGACTACTTATCAAGTGGAAAAATTGGCATATATCACGAACAGCAAATGCAAGGCAGCGTAGCCAACATCAGGAACCCCAGGATCCCATCTGGACATAAGAGGCAGCAGTCAGATCTTGGAGGCAAAGTTAGTTCAGAAAGATTACAAGCCTTAGTCGCCAATAATGTACTTTGATTCTTGTGTGCAACTAGGGAGAAGCTTTGAAAAGGATGCGAGGAAGAACATCAAGCTGACAGTCAATCCTCCACAGAATGGAGTAATTAATCCTGGAGACAACTGCGCCTGTGACTGCTGCACAGTTTCAAATTCGCAGGAATAACAGACCACTGCTAGCTTGGGCGAGCGCGACGGCCTACCGGTTCAGTAATTGGCAAAAACGGGAGGTGGCGGTCGTGTTTTTTTTTTTTTTTTTTTTTTTTTTTTTCCTCGTCTGCGACTTTTTTTTTCTTTTTTTCTTTTTTGTTTTCCGCACCTGCCACGACCGAGCTGTCTAGGCCACACCCGTAGCAGGCCCTCCCAGTTTTGGCTCCCCAGGGTTGTGGCCTAGGCATCCCGGCCGTGGCCCAGCCACGGGCGTGGCCTAGACATCTCGGCCGTGGCCCAGCCATGGGCGTGGCCAAGACATCTCGGCCATGGCCCAGCCACGGGTGTGGCCTAGACAACGCGGCCGTGGCATAAGCAGGCGAGAAAAAAAAAAAAAAAGAAAAAAAAAAGTCGCAGAGGTTAACGAAGATTCATTCCGATTTCGAGCGCGGCGGCAGGCAGCGGCTGGCATGTGACACAGACACAGAGAGAGAGAGAGAGAGAGAGAGAGAGAGAGAGAGAGAGAGAGAGAGAGAGAGAGAGAGAGNTTTTTTTTTCCCCACGGCCGTGCTGTCTAGGCCACACCCGTGGCTGGGCCATGGCCGAGATGTCTTGGCCACGCCCATGGCTGGGCCACGGCCGAGATGTCTAGGCCACGCCCGTGGCTGGGCCACGGCCTAGCCACACTTCGATTACCCGAGCTGTTGAATGGTTGGTCCGCAGTTACGAAGAGAAAGGCTTCAACGATATCTTTGTGAAAAAGAGAGGTAAAGGAGCTATGGTAAACGTAAAAATGCCCCTGCAGGTTATTTTCGTCTTAGTTTTAAAGTTTTGCTAAATTTGGTGGTCCTTGACCTTGGGAATACATTTCTGTCTGCTATGGGAGTCATACTGAAACAGATTATTGGTATTCCGATGGGAAAACCATCGAGTCCGGCTCTTGCTTGCCTGCTATGTGCATATAATGAATTTGACTTCCTTCGACAATTGGGGAATGAACGCAAAATGTTGTTTGGTATGAGATTAGTTGATGACGTCTCAGTACTGTCAAAATATCAGATTGGTTCCAACTATAGCATGGCTGTCGCGAAGAATAAACTGAAACAATTCCAGACTTGCTACGGCGACAACTTGACATTGGAATTGACGAGCTGCGGGGATACATGGGATTTTCTGGGATGTGTTATTAAGGTTTTCAAGCAACCATGCATGGTGCTCTCTGCGGCCGCCCATAAGAACGAACGATTTATCATTGGAGAAGGAATTCGTTTTCAGAGTCTTCAAGATTTTGGATCGTACTCTGTCAATCAACAAAAGATGTCTGTCATCACGGCATGTCTTCATCGGGCTAAGACCTTGACAACAATTCCAGGCGCTGATGCGTGTTTTCTATTTACTTTGAAAATGGAACTGCGTGCTAGGAATTTCCCTGACTTATATTTTGATAGCTGTCTGAGGAATTTTTCTGGGTACGATGCTTCACTAACTGGCATTTTCCCTACTGAACCTTTCCGTTGTCTATTTTCTGTCTTTCCTCCATCCTACTGCTGTTATGATGCGGGCATTCAGACTCGAACTTAGGACCTACCTTTTCCTTTTCACTTTGTCTATTTCGGCCCCCTGTCTATTTTTGCTATGTTAGTACTGTTAGATTCGAACTCTCGACCTGTCTCTTACTTTTGTTTTTTGTCCTCGTCTATTTTTTTGGATTCATTGAAACTCGAACCTGGGCAGGATTCGCTCCTCTCTTTTTCTTTCTAAGTAGGATTTGCTTCTCTTTTTCACTTTGTCTATTTCGGCCCTCCTCTTGATGGAAACGAGTCTTGAACCTGGTACCTGTTGAACACGAGCTATTTTTTTGGAGCAACCTCGTAGAGTTGACGACTTGTTAGGCTCTGTAGATATAAGTAGTTGTAAAACAGACTTTTCATTCAATCCTGCGCTAGGTATCAGTTGACCCCTGACGAAGCCGGACAGGCGACCGGCAGAAACACGGTGTAGGGTCTCATCGCCTGATTTGCGTCTGTGTCATATTATATATTTTTTCGACGCATACCTGTGCTCGGTTTTCTCAGTCTCAGTCTCTGTCTCATGTGTGGTGTGCTATGTGTATGCTACACTTTTTTCTGAACGATACTTTGTGTATCCCACTTTGACTAATGCATGTTACACGGCCTAGATGCATAGGCCACAACCTGAGGAAACGAGCCAAAACTGGGAGGGCCTGCTACGGGTGTGGCCTAGACAGCTCGGCCGTGACAGGCGCGAAAAAAAAAAAAAAAAAAAAAAAAAAAGTTGCAGACGAGGAAAAAAATAGAACAAAAAAAGAAAAAAGAAACACGACTGCCACCTCCCGTTTTTGCCAATTACTGAACTGGTAGGCCGTCGTCCTCCCACCTTACTGTTTTTCTTGCAGTTTCGAACTGGTCTTCGCGCAAGCTTGCAGTGGACTGTTATTCCTGCGAATTCGGAACTGTGCAGCAGTCACAGGCGCAGTTGTCTCTTGATCCTGTTCAGGGATCCTTCTGCCAAACGGAAGGAGGCGAGAATGTGTATATGATGTGATTTTATAACTTGCCAGGGGGAAAAGGAACCGGACTGATGCTTCCCAGGCTCCATATCTGGCTTGGTACAGAAGGCGACAATATGGGCAATATCGAAGGAGAGATGCAGTATCACACTGGATGACACGCGGAATTCCAGAGAGAAGGTATGGGCAGCAACCAGGAACCTCATGGAAGCGGAATTTTCAATTCAGAGGGACCCTGACTCAGAATAGCGACAGAAAGCGAAGTTTCAACATACCTAGCTGGTGAAAGCCAAGGTGGAAGCATGACAGGGACTATTTATCAGGTGGAAAGATTGGCATATCTCCGAAACTGCAAATGCAAGGCAGCGCAGCCAACATCAGGAACCCCAGGATCCCATCTGGACATAAGAGGCAGCAGTCAGATCTCAGAGGCAAAGTTAGTTCACAAAGATTACAGGCCGTAGTTGCCAATAATGAACTGCGATTCTTGCGTGCAACTAGGGAGAGGATCTGAGAAGGATGTGAGGAAGAACATCAAGCTGACAGTCAATCCTCCACAGATGGAGTAATCATTGCTAATCAATGCTGTTCAGGGATCCTTCTGCCAAACAGGAGGCGTGCATGTGTATATGATGTAATTTTATAACTCGCCAGGGGGAAAAGGAACCGTATTGATGCTTCCCAGACTGGATATGGGGCCAGGACCATAAGGACTTGTCTGAACTAAAACAAAACAAACAAAAAAAGATTGCTCTGCATCAAGCAAACAAAGAGAAATTCCGAGGACCAAAAACATTCATTAATAGACTAAACAAGGGCCTTACTACAACAACCAGGGAATGCAGGGTCTGACATCAGGCCTTCAATCCAACACAAACTTACCATACACCATGGCACATTCTCGCTTCCAGCGACATTCTCGCAAGGCAGAGCATGTCTTAGAATTTGTCTTGGTGCAGCAGCTATCTATGGCACCCTGACAGCCATCCCTTCTATCACAGCTACTAGTCATTTTACAAATCTTTGCTGCGCTGATGGAATTCCTTTCCACGATCTTTTCACATTCTGAAGCAACTCTGCCTGCTCTCTTGCAAATGCTACCACCTGAATCAGAGATAACACAGAAAGGAAAAGGTGACTGGTAAGAACGCTAGCAATGCAAAGTATGTTACCGTAGCTCCCTTTTCTTTTCCCCTCCCCAAACGGAGCAGAAGGCGCAGAAGCAGAACTTCATTGGCTGAGGCCCTCAAGAAAAAAAGTTGAGTGCTGGCTGAAAATATATCCTGCAACCAAGGCTGCCGGAAAAATGAAGATCATCGGAATCAGTAAATTGTGTCCCCAGAAAGATTTGCAGAAACTTCGTACCATTTAATCCTTGAAGCCGACAATGCTCTGTCTAGAGAACCGGGAGAGGATGGTTTCCGAATACACACTCCGTATACATGGCACACATGGAAAAATCACATACCTCTTGAAAATTGAAACTCAAATCCGGACACACCTTGCACACGATGTCCATAGAACAAACCCTGCTACCGAAAACAAACAATAATGTACAAACCATACTTGCGGCGCATCAGTGCGGTGCGCGATGCGGTGCGCTGCGCGGTGCGTGGTGCGCACCTGTGCCGTGCGCGCACTCGTGGGCTATGCGCGCGCACTGATGCGCAGTGCGCTGCGCGGCACTCCAGTGCGCAGTGCGCCGGTGCGCTGGGGCGTGCGCGTGACGAGCGCACTTTCGCGCATGGTGCGCCGTGCAATACATGGAATTTTTTTTTTTTTCTACGTGATACACCTAGTTGACGAGTTTTGTCGAACGTAACATAGGGGTAAGTTGAGAGAGAGAGAGAGAGAGAGAGAGAGAGAGAGAGAGAGAGAGAGAGAGAGAGAGAGAGAGAGAGAGAGAAAGCACCTGTCTCTTATACACATCTAGATGTGTATAAGAGACAGGG